CTTCACCTCTCTCAGGGGTAGTGTTTCTCAACCAGATTAAATGATGTGTCATCATTAAGCGTACAGACTGTTTGTTTACATCAAGTTTTCAATTTTACTCTGCAGTTACTATATACTTGGTGAAAAGATTGTGATTTCCAAGGAGACATGATGGGTATTTTTATAGAATTATTGATAATGATATTTGTAACTTATTTATTCACATACCCCCAAATATATTGGATTGCTTTATGGAAAAAAAAATTGCAATATTTTATTCTGCTGTTCTTCCATTTTTTTTTCTTTATAGAATACTTCTGCACCAGTTGATATTCGTATTCATGATAAACAAACCAACCCTGAAAAGAAAAGTAAAGGTTTACATGCTATAAATTATGTATTTGCATAACTGTTTCCAACATGTAAAAGTGTTGAAAATAAATTGTTATTTTTAGGACCGCATTTTTAATTTCCACATATGAATAAATTTGTTATTTTATATCATATATATTGTATATTATCAGTTGATAAATACTGAAAATGGAGGAAATAGTCTCTAGCGTTCTTTATCTTTTATACAGTATTGCCTTCACCACGATCTGTATCCTCATACCTGTTTTGTGTGGTTAGGTTTGCAGTTACATGTCAGCACAATATTCATATAAGAGGCTTTTATCGGCAGAAGGAAAAACTTTTGATCACGGAATACTAATTGTGGCTTCACAACCATTTCAAGGAGAAAAACGGAAAGTTTAACCGAAATACTCTTACCATTTTCTTTTCTTTTCTATTCCTTCATCTTGTCTTCCCTCTATTTGCTCACAAAGCCAGTTCCATTAATAAATGTGTAAACTAATGATATAGAAAATAACAGTATGATACCATTATTCCTGCTTTCAGCCAGAAGTTATCTGATATTCAAAAGGTATATAATTTTGATAAGAAGTAGTACAGTCATTGGAAGATACTGAATTAAAGATGAGCGTGTGGTTCAGCTGGCAGTACTTGAAAGTTGAATATGAGATTTAGGGTTGATCAGGAACTCTGCCTGCCTGCCCTGTGACCAATGACACCAGCTGTTGTCGTTGCAGGTGTCGCCTCTGGAGCAGCTCCTTGAGGAGTCGTCGAGCTCCCCACCACATATCAAGGCCGAGCCGACTGTCAGTGGAGGTCCTAGTGATGGTGAGCCACGGGTCCCCATTACATCACCTGTGGAAATTACCCCTCAGTATATTGGCGTTCAACAGTACCCTGCACTGACCAGCTTAGCGGCAGGAAACATGGGTCTCGTAGGGTTCAGCGCAAGACCTGTAATTAATATGACTTCAGCAAGCGCGAGCAGCTCAGGAGGAGGGTTTGTTGGTGTGCTCATGTCAGCAACAGCGCCACGGGCACCACGACGTGCCAATAACCCACTCACTTGCCCCATTTGTGGGAGAGTTGTTCTCTTTCGGTCTGAGTATGAGAAACACATGCGAACACACACTGGCGAAAAGCCATTTGTATGTCATTTGTGTTCCTACCGTTCTGCACAGCGTTCCAATCTGAATGTACATCTGAAGTCAGTTCACAAATTGTATTCTCCTTCAGTCAATTTAACTGCACAACCTCCTACTTGGGATGCCAATCCAGACAGTGGATTCATAGGCTGAATAGTGCCACTTCATATATTAAGTAATGCTAGCAATATACTCTTAAGGAAAGTCTGTGGAACCACTGTCTTGAACTGAAATATATTAAAAACTATATAAAGAACTTCCTAGTAAATTGTAGTTGAGTACAAGACTATTTAGCTATCTTACATAGAATTTACTAGATGCTATTATCAGAATGAAAAATACTCTGGATATTATCAATATAAAACATATTTAAGCAAAGAGAAGTATTATAAATAGTTATATCTTATATATTTTTGTTAATATTTGTTTTGTGCAACTTGCAACCAATATATGCTCTTTCTTATATACTTACGTAAAGTATGAGAAACACACTATGCTCATACTGTGAAAATAAGTATTTATATATCATTTATGTTCATATTCCCAGAGCTGCTCAGGCTCTATTTATTCTTTTAGTGATCAAGTAGTCTTTCCAATGAATGTATTCACTAGTGCCTCCTTACATAAATGGCTGTCATTTATTAATGACTATGAGAGGAGGAGTGTTTATGAAATCCTAATTTTCATAGATTTTGTGAAAGCTGTTTTTTTTTGTTTTTTGTTTTTTTTATTAGTTTCTCGTTTTTATCAGTTTCTGGCTGCCAAAAGACAGTATTTGATCATTTTATTTTCATGACAGGTGTGTCATTTTTTTGAATACCTAAAGGACAGATATAGGCTAGGCAGTGTATTATTGAATGTTATATGTTTGCAAATATTTTCTTGACTTGTGTTGGCATGTGACAGCAGGTTTTGTAAAACGGCCTCATTATATGTAGAGTAAATGAATATATCTCATATCTAATCTCCCAAACTTTCCTTTATTTTACCTCTCAGATTTCTTGTTCTTAAATTTTACTAGCTAGAAACCAAATTACCTTTTGATGCTGTTGTACTAGCCCTTCAGAAATATGAATGTATTTGATTTGATTCCAGATATGATCAAAGTGGCTAGTGACAGATAAGTCTTTACTTCTATAACTGCCATTTTTATATAAAGTAGGTGTTCATTTTAGAGTAAATAAGTATGATAGAGGAACAGAATACCAAAGTAATGGAGCAGGAGCCACATTTTGGGTCGGGCAGGGTCCATAAAGGAACCAAAAATATGGACAGCAATGCATGATAAAAACCTTTAAAAGCAATATTTAAATGTAGCTTTATTGTGGTATGATGGTAAACCCAATTCATCTCATGAGTAAAACACCTTGAAAACACTAACAATTTTGGTGAGATGATTATCAGTCACTTTAAAGATTACAGATAATTGGATGGGATGGAAAATAATGAAGTGCATTTAATGCTTGATGATGGAACTGACATGGAGTTTTGTTTGGAAGTGTTGTTAAATGAAAAATGTAAAAAGTTAGTGAAGGACTGTGCACATTCTATATATCATATATGCATGATTAGCTTAGCAAAGCTTGGAAATGTTATTCATTAGCAATATATGATAGCAGAGATTACACATATATTATCTCACTTTCCCAGTCTAGTCTTATGTGTAGTTTTGTTTTCTAAAAAGCTATACCGTCTTATTTTCTTGTAATTTACTGTTTTTTATTCTTTTATATACATTTTTTGAGGGATATGTCTGTATGTAGAAGGGTGACAATTTAATTTATAACTTTAAAATGGGATATGATACTAGAATTGTATTTATAATCAATTTACTGTGAAAAAAGCTACAATGACAAACACATGGATGGAAAAAGCTAGAGGGAAAAATTAATTAAGCAAATAAAAATCTTTATATGAACATAATTTTCCGAGAAATTGAAGTCCTTTTTTCTCTCGTAGATGTTAGAGGGACATAAAACCATTTGCTTCATCTCGTGATGTAGATCGTTTGGAATAAAGGTATACTTAAACATTTATGTTGAGTTGAAGAAGATAGATGTGGGCCAACATGCAGTAACAATTAAAGAATATATTTTAGAAATGTTTGTATTATTCCTTTCTGACCAAATGAGTAACTGATTGTATGTATGTGTTGCTTGTGTGTGCATCCGACTTCATGGCAAGTGACGAAGTGGTAAAAGAAATAGGCATCATGGTGAAAGAAATGCATATAATGGAACCTTTATATACACAAAGACATGCAAGTTTACTGCTATATATGAGGCTTCTGTTGCAGAAGTTGCCAAAAGAAATCAGGAACCACATTTGGGTCGGGCAGGGTCCATAAAGGAACCAAAAATATGGACAGCAATGCATGATAAAAACCTTTAAAAGCAATATTTAAATGTAGCTTTATTGTGGTATGATGGTAAACCCAATTCATCTCATGAGTAAAACACCTTGAAAACACTAACAATTTTGGTGAGATGATTATCAGTCACTTTAAAGATTACAGATAATTGGATGGGATGGAAAATAATGAAGTGCATTTAATGCTTGATGATGGAACTGACATGGAGTTTTGTTTGGAAGTGTTGTTAAATGAAAAATGTAAAAAGTTAGTGAAGGACTGTGCACATTCTATATATCATATATGCATGATTAGCTTAGCAAAGCTTGGAAATGTTATTCATTAGCAATATATGATAGCAGAGATTACACATATATTATCTCACTTTCCCAGTCTAGTCTTATGTGTAGTTTTGTTTTCTAAAAAGCTATACCGTCTTATTTTCTTGTAATTTACTGTTTTTTATTCTTTTATATACATTTTTTGAGGGATATGTCTGTATGTAGAAGGGTGACAATTTAATTTATAACTTTAAAATGGGATATGATACTAGAATTGTATTTATAATCAATTTACTGTGAAAAAAGCTACAATGACAAACACATGGATGGAAAAAGCTAGAGGGAAAAATTAATTAAGCAAATAAAAATCTTTATATGAACATAATTTTCCGAGAAATTGAAGTCCTTTTTTCTCTCGTAGATGTTAGAGGGACATAAAACCATTTGCTTCATCTCGTGATGTAGATCGTTTGGAATAAAGGTATACTTAAACATTTATGTTGAGTTGAAGAAGATAGATGTGGGCCAACATGCAGTAACAATTAAAGAATATATTTTAGAAATGTTTGTATTATTCCTTTCTGACCAAATGAGTAACTGATTGTATGTATGTGTTGCTTGTGTGTGCATCCGACTTCATGGCAAGTGACGAAGTGGTAAAAGAAATAGGCATCATGGTGAAAGAAATGCTATAATGGAACCTTTATATACACAAAGACATGCAAGTTTACTGCTATATTGAGGCTTCTGTTGCAGAAGTTGCCAAAAGAAATCAGGAATTTACAATCCTTTTCACAGAATGGTACATTATTATCTCATTGGAAGGGCTATATACTTTGGTTAACTTGAGCCTTTCCAGCTAGAGAACAATTTGTGTATCTTCATATTTCAAAATGTGTAGATTCTTCCAAAAAAATAAAAAGATTTTCCTCTTTACAAATGTGCAAAGGTTCATTATTACCTTTGATGCATATTGTTTTTTTTTTTATTGAGAAGTCTGCTTATACTTCAGGCTTTCTTCATCAACAAATGTTAACCTATGAAATACTTTAAAATATACAGCAATGGTAATGTCATCCTGAAATTAAGAGAAAGGAGAAAATAAGCTGCTTGGTATTAACAAGATGATTTGTAGAAAGATAGAATTCTAACATTTTTACAAAACAAATATTTTGTTCCCTAATGAGCTTCAAAAGCTAAAATTGAGCTACTCTGTAAGCATGTTATTCATGATTACATGATGGACTAATTAAAAAGTCTTTGATAAAGATGGTAAATGATGGGCCCAGCACTACCTAAGATGGTGTTGTCTCTTTGCAGCGGCTGGCCTCTGTCTTTGCTGCTGGAGGTGCAGGTCTGGGCGGAATAGGGCCCGTAGGAGGGATGAGCGAGGCAGAACGTTTGGCGTGGGCTCGCAGTCTGGGAAGCGGGCAGACATGGATCTGCCCAGTGTGTCACAAACAGTTTGGCATGCGTTACTACTATGAGCGTCACCTAAAATGTCACCAGGCACAGAAGGACCACCAGTGCCCCTACTGTCCGTTCCGTGCCTCTTATAAATGGAACTTGAAGTCGCATGTTCGTAACAAGCACCGTGATAAGCCACCTCCACCCTAATGGAAGCAGGATTGTCTTTACGACCAATCAAATCTTGTATTCAAGGCCGTCAAAGGATCCCACATACTGTTAGAGACTTTGATAGCATTTCTTTAACCCTTTGACTGCTACAGTAAAAAAATTGTAATGAAATTGCCATGCATCATTTACAGATTACTTAATTGAGCTCTGTATGGGCAGTTAGCCATTCAGATTGTTTTTTTCCTTATATACACATTACGACAGAATGCTGTCTCACTGAGAACCATATCTCTGATGGCTTACTTTTTTATGTAAGTGTAACTAGTATACAAATATACTGTGAGCAAAGACTAAAGAAGAAATTACAGGATTTACACAGTTGAATATTTGATTTTTGTTCTTAATCCGTAAATCATGATATTTTCTCTATTCTCTTACAACAGCTCTTATGCTTTATTTTGATGTAAGTGGAAGTTCAAACAAATTAATTTATAGCATTTTATTTGGACAGGTGGTAAAAGGGTAATATTATTTACTTGTAGAAGTGTTAGCCAAAGAGGTAGAGTAATGTGCACTCTTTTTGAGAGGACAGAAGTTAACCTACTTTTCTCACACAAGTTCACAAGTATGTCTGTTATCATGGAATATTAGTGTGTGTGAACATATGTGCATTAAAAAACAAGATTGGATAATCTTTTATGAAGAAAGTTGGGAAAGAAAATGGAAACACTAATTCTGATTTTTTAATTGCCCAAAAAAACAAAAACAAAACAAAGCAAAAAAAAAAAAAAAGAAACACAAAGCAGCCAAAGGGTTAATGTACATTAGTCATAGAAATGGAAATTAGGGTGGTGGGGAGCTATCATGGTAATGGTGATGGTTTTGACGTGAGTGGTGACAGGCTACAAGGGCTGGTTTCTCTCATTACAGGGCTTGCTGCCCCTTCACCTGCGTGAGTACCGTGTGGGCATCCCTGACTCTCAGTACCGCTGCTGCTGGTGCGGTAAGACTTCAACTTCTCGGTATGACTATGATAAACATGTACGCACTCACACTGGAGAGAAACCCTTCGTCTGTCCAATATGCCCATTTCGGACAGGAGACAGATCCAGCTTATCAAAACATGTTCGTCGTCATCATGTTGCTAATCCTAGTGGAGGACAATGGAACCAGCTGCAGCACAAGTAGTAGAATCTACTCTGGACCAGTGTCTAAAACTTGTTCTCAGTGACTTGTGAATGCCATTGTAAGATGCTACTTGGAAGCATGAACTGGAAGATGTCAGTGGACCTATTTCTCTGTGCTAACCAAGTCCTTTACTACTGTGGAATACAAGTGTTCTTGGATTATCCTAATGCTGAAGGGGATATATGTTATAATATATTGGCTTGTGGTGCAACAGTCACTGCTCACTGTGTGACCACTAACACACAGAACTGTTTAAGGATGTGTTAGCCATCTATGCAGAGTTTACAAGAGTGCCTGTCCTCTGTTTCAGGCCGGGGACAGCTTGGACGTAAGAAGGGAGATTAGGGGAGGCGCGAACCAGATGTTTATGGTTGAGGGTCTTGAAGTGCTGCCGTGCCCCCTGTGTGGCAGGCTTCTACACACACGTGCAAGGTACAGAAGTCATCTTGAATATTGTCGGCGAGCAGCTAATCCCCAGTTCACCTGCCACGTCTGCCACAAAGCTTTTGCATATCGTAAGGATCTTGAGAAACATGTACGCACACATACGGGTGAAAGACCGTACGCATGCCATTATTGCTCATTTCGGTTTGCTGATCGAAGCAGTCTAGTGAAACATGAACGGCGACACCACCTCACAGACACCTCTTGAAAACTTGATAAAAAAGCAGAGAAATGAACATGCAGTGTGCTTATAAGCAAATGCATTCTGGTTTTTGTATATACCCTGAAGTTAAGAATGGCAGTACTCTCACAATGGAAAAAAGGTATGGTCACCTTACTCATGTGAGCATATGGATAATTAAGAGTCTGTGTAGGCCAAGAGTTTTCCCAACAAATTTTCTTGTTCAGACTATGAAAAGAACTTCTCTGGTCCAGATCAAGTGCAACTTTAAGCTTTATCTGAAAATATTTTTACCATGGTACACAATTTCAAGACTTCAAAAAGTACTGGGCATAATTATTGAGTGTGTGGAAAGAATTATAAAAATGCTTTCACAAATTAATTGAATATGCTATACTGGTACCTGTAAGATGGGCATTCTAGATGGAGTTTTGTGTAATATTTTGAATCTGAAATTAGTTTTCAGTATACATAAGTTAAGTAGTCTCAAATTACATTAATTCATATGTGGGCTTAGGGCCCTTATCTGTGTATGGGTTTCATATGTATGTAGGAGTAATGTGACCAGACTTGAGGAGACTGCCAAAGATGCAAACGCCCATGATGTGATGCTTGTCTGTCTCCTTGCAGGGCTCAGTGGCAGGTGCAGGAATGGCTCACTACCGTAATCGTCAGAACTCTAATGACTTCGGGGGATTAGAGCATTCTATATCAATATACGGGGATGAACGCCTACCTAGCCATGTAAAGCCAGCATGGAAAGGAGCAAGTTACAATATTAATCCAGAGTCATATAGCCAAATGGTATTAGGTGGAGGTCAGCAGGAGTGCCATGTGGGAGGGGGAAATGAATTAGTGTGTCCAGTTTGTTTAAAAGTCCTGCTTAATGAAAGAAGCTATAAGAGACATTTAGATTACCACCGCCAGGCATTAAATCCAAAACACCACTGCAATCATTGTGGAAAGCGATTCACTTTTGCTGCTGATCTGCAGAAACATTTACGGACTCACACAGGAGA